CTGCTTTCCGCAGTCGTGTAGCGTAGTTCCCAGTCCTTTCACCCACTTCCGGTTTCACTCGCATGAGCTCAAAAAAGGCAAAGTCATTGGACTTTTGAGGGAAAAAATATTTAACTTCGTGTTTGATTGCAGATAATCCGTCAATTTTCTGTGGTAACACTTGTTGGTTTAGTGGGCGATGACAAGGAGTCATGAATGTCTTCTGCCTGTGGCCCGGCGTAAATAAGTGGGGTCATTTGTGCCGTTTCGCTGCTATCTCTGTCGCTAGGGTCGCAACCGTTGTATTTTAAATCGCGCTCGAACCTCTCTAGCTATCGCTCCCAACGTTTGCATAAGTTTAGCCTGTCTCCGTGTGGGTCGAACCGTGTTACTTTGAGTTTTGGTCCTTTCGTGGCCATGTTGTTACCGATATTTACTTGTTATACATTTTTGGCACGCCGATTTACTTTCCTTTTGTCGTCAATTATTTGCTCGAAGTGCAGGATATATTCGGGTCCGCCGGGCGGCTGTTATTCTTCGTCTACGTTGTGAATTACTTCTCCAGTCCTCGAATTAACCCCTATCTTCGACGTCAATGTTATATGCTTATAATTATATTAAACGTCTTTTATAAGCCCTTTCAACTATTGTCCTTTCATGTATTGTTCTCTCACTGTCCTACTCCTAAAAGCCATCGTTCACGTGGCGAGTACTTGAATACCACAGCTATACAAATATTTCATTGTGTCCGGCCCGATCATTCGTGTAGTCGCAGTCGTGCGGATAGTTCATCACGGGGTTAGCAGACCTTACTAGCGCAAGTATGACCGAACCGAGACTGAGCTTATAAATAAGTTGTCCGAACTGTTGAACGCTGTTGAGAAGTCGACGAAGACAAATCAGCAAAGGCAAGAGCAACTTGCTGAAAATAATGAGAAGAGTATTCGCAGCCAAACTGACTTTCGAACATTACAGGAACAACAACAAGCCCAGTTAGCAACACTGATGGCACAAAACACATTACAGGTGGGCCCAGCCCTTCAGCCCAAACCTTTTTTTGCTAAACCAGCAGATGACCTTACAGCATTTCTCAACCACTTTGAACGATATTCTACTCTCTGCGGTTGGGATTCCAAACAGCGTTTGCGGGCCTTGCCTCTTTATTCACAGGGTAATGCTGCATGGTTCCTGGCATGCTCGTCTTAATACAGTTTTCGTGAGTATGATATTTTAGTTATGGCACTAAAAGAACAGTTCAGTAATCCGGCATCAATTTGGCTTTTACGTCAACAATTGTCGGCAAGAAAGCAGAATGAAGCCGAATCTATGCCGCAGAAATTATGCGCCTGTGCGGTTAAGCTTAAGCGACAATGAAGGCATGCACTATTTTATTCAAGGCCTTCGCCCCGATTTGAAAGGCCATGTTATCTTAGGACAACCAAAAACCCTTGCCGAGGCAGAAAACCTTGCTCACCTGAACGAAGCTGTGTCCACAAGTACACCTAGCTTGACAGAGTATAAACTCGAATCCCAGCTTTAATCTGTTGTGTCAAGAGTTTAGAGGTTATAGCAATTAAGTAACACTCAGCAAAACCAGGCACCAAACATAGCAGCGTATATCATCGTTATTCAAAACTGAGCTGAGTTACCTGATAAAGTTCGCAATCCAAATCATGAGCATTACCATTGGCGCCAGCCTCCAACATCTCGCGCAAGGCATGCCTCAGATCACATTACAAGATTAATTCAGGAAGAGGTACGGCGACAAACACAGCACTTAACATCCACATACCGCCCATCAAACACTGGTGTACCTTCTATCCGTGACCGACGCACAACACTGGGTTACCTACCGTAATTACTCGAATAAACGCCTCCCTCGAATAAACACCGCCCTCGAATAAACACCGCCCTCGAATTAACGTCGCAGGGACAAGCAAAAATATCATTAAACGCCGCCCTCAAATAAACGCCGCAACCTTTTCGTCATTGCGGCGTTTATTCGAAGCATTTTTTCAAGAAAAAACACATAGACACATTTCAAGAAAAGACACATAACTTTTATACTTAGTTTTTTTGGGGATTGATTGTATTGGTTAAATTGGCGTTTAAAGTACACAATAAATTCAGAGTTGTTACGAGTTTGCAATAAACGCCTCCCTTGAATAAAAGCCGCACTCGAATAAACGCCGCATCTTAATTGCTAAAAATTTAATAAACGCCGCGGCGTTTATTCGAGTAATTACGGTATATGTAATGGTTGCAACAAAGTGGGCCATATTGTTCGTAACTGTCGAGATAGCGGCACGCAACCCGCGCAAATTCTGCCACATAATTCACATATCCGTCTCAACACGCATCACCATTCACCTCAGAAAAATCCATGTATCCGGCCTGGCATGCAACATCAGCTTCCAGATGGGCCCCAGTATAATCAACACATTCGTCTTGATGCTCCTACATTTAATCCTCAACAAAGGCCTTTTCCGGTAATAACCTTTTCCATTAATTAACTAATTGCTGCTTCCTTATACCGGGACAATAAGGGGGCGATCGTTTTAGAGAAATATGAAAAAAAGGAATGTCTCGAAAGATCTAATGAATATGTTGTTGATAATAACCCACCCAGTCACCTTAATATACATCCTAACCTTATAGGTATTGATTTTAGTCTACTCACAGACAATCCCACTGCTGTATTATGTGAAGAGGGTATTACCTCTGGCCTGCCTATGAAGAATTGTGATACATTTGCACGGAATATATTAAGTCCTGTCAAACACAGTGCTAGAGAGCCCCTTATCTTGTGCAATAGATGTACCTGTGTGTACTGATTTAGTTGATTTGTCATGCGAAGTAAATGAAGAGACGGATAAAGAACCAAGTATTGTTGTATTAAATTCTGACCTGAAAGACCTGTCATATCCTATTCCATCAACAAGTGCGCATTGTTAATTCTATTACATTTGAGATTCGCATTAATTTTCTGTTTATGAAAGGCAAAGTAAGTAGCATACCGACATCTTTTTTATGTGACACTGGAGCTTCTGCCATCACCATTAGCGAGACTGTATTTAACAAAATCCCAAATTGTGAGAGAATAGCTAGTAACACAGCGTTTTGACATGCAATCAGAACTGTCAGCGGTGAAAGTATGCCAATCAAAGGTGTGAAATTAGTCCCTTTTCAAATTGGAGAATACTACTACACCTGGTATTATGCATACATTATACAGTATAGAAAAACTAGCTTACGATGTAATTCTTGGATCTGACTTTCTTGGTCATTACCAATCATTATTATATGGCACGCGGTCTCGTGACTAAAATAACGTGCGCTGATCGGTTCTTTGCCGGTCTGGAATCCCCCAGTATTAGACCGTTGCCGTAGTACTCCCATATTTTTGAACAAAAACAAGCTTGGACTTTTATTTTTGACACGAAAAATATTGACGGAGAATGGACGAAGAAGAGCATTATTTGGTACATGTGAATACAATTGTGAATTTGGTACATTCGATCTTATTTAACGAGTAAAAAACAATGTTTTGGAAGCCACTCTAGTGCTTGTTTGGCGACTGGCTGGCGAAAGAGCCGGCAAGAATGCTGCAGCGCATTGTATAAATAGATAAACTAAATACTGTATGCAATATAATAAATAAATCATTAACCGAATACGTTCGGTCCGTACTGGAAAAATATCAGACCTCGGTCTTTAATGTACGGACCTCGCTATCGCTCGGTCCGTACTGTCAAGACCTCGGTCTGATATTTTTCTAGTACGGACCTCAAATTCGGTTAATAAGTGGTATGTAATAGATTTTGACAACCACTCGCTTGAACTATGACCACCAAGTAAGAAGCCACCAACTGAAACAGTATTGAATATTTTCTGTTCTGTACATGCGCACAAAACACGTGTTTTACCACCAAATACCGAATCGTCGATACCGCCAATATTAAAATGCGACATGGATTTCCCAATGCTCTGCTCTGCTCTGCTCTGCTCTGCTCTGTTCTCTTCTGTTCTCTTCTGTTCTGTTCTGTTCTGTTCTGTTCTGTTCTCTTCTGTTCTCTTCTGTTCTGTTCTGTTCTCTTCTGTTCTGTTCTCTTCTGTTCTTTTTCTGTTCTGTTCTCTTCTGTTCTCTTCTGTTCTCTTCTGTTCTGTTCTCTTCTGTTCTCTTCTGTTCTCTTCTGTTCTCTTCTGTTCTGTTCTCTTCTGTTCTCTTCTGTTCTCTTCTGTTCTCTTCTGTTCTCTTCTGTTCTCTTCTGTTCTGTTTTCCGTCTTTCCTCCTCTTGGTTCAAGTTATGAATCATGTACTATCAAATAAGAACGTGAAAAAAAGGAGAAGAAAGTTGCAGGACAGTCTACCATTAAAGGAGATGGATCCGCCATCATACTGTGTTCCACTTCAGAGCCAGGTTTGAGTCGTGTAAAAATCACTCATAGAACAACGATCAATAAGCTGGGTTGACGCAGTTATTCTTATTTAATATACAATCTTTGTGCATTGGCCAAAATCTACTCACGCGATTGGTCAAAATCAATCACATGGTTCCTTGTTGCCTGGCGACAGATCATGGAAATCATAATTCATTCACAATAACTCATGTAATCGTGGTTTATTCGCAATAACCCATGAAAATGGTAGTTTATTCAAAAATTACAGCCTGCAAAGAAGCTTAGATCTTCAATGCAGCAATCAATGAACTCAGAGTGTATGTGGACCAAAACAGTGTGCAATTAATAATAACAGTACTGAAACACTAGCACGCATGTCTTAACTCGAATACGCTGCCAGGATTTAATATTGTAATTCTACAACGACTGGACTCAAACTTTTTCCCCGTACTTTATATATATATATATATATATATATATATATATATATATATATATATATATATATATATATATATATAAGACGATATAAAATACAAGAAACTTGGTTTACTTCATATGATTTTATTCACTACAAATTTGTTTCGTATATAACAAGCAGTGCTTGCCACACTCATCAGGTGAATTTAAATGTCGCGCTATATAGTTGCCATAGTTATATATACTATTTACATATTTGACGAAAAACGGATTGCATATATACATATACGTATTGTATTAGGTTACATTACTTAAGAGAAATTTATTTCTATGTCTGCATTTTGATAAAAGTTCGCTTCTTGAATTCAGGGAACAAAGTTCAGGTTATTTTTTAACAAAATAATTATTATCATATAATGTGATCTGAGAGTATTTTTGCACTTGTCCATGTTTTATTATCGACAGAGTTCAGCACACAAAGAATCGACCATTTCTTCACTATCAGAAAATATTGAAATGGCTGCATGACATTTCTCGCCTTCATCAACAGCCGCCATAATTATAATCCGGCTGCTGAGATTCTCCTCGTTGATAGAATTCGCTTTCTTAACCAATTCCTCACTTGTGATATTGAATGTTACACATATTTCGTATCGGGACTTTGTTAGTCCCAATTTTGCCATGGTTGATGCAAGGATGAGGTACGCTGTATTGCCGTTTATACGAGGATTCAGGTCCACCAGATAGTCTCCCCTGAGACTTGTAATTATGTCGATACCCACCATTCCGAAGTAGCCTTTGTTATGTAGGTATTTCGCTACAGGCACCACAAATTTATCATACACTCTCTCCCTATACTTGTCCTGCATGTCCCAGTCAACTGATCCGCCACTGCATCCGAAATCTTTGTTCACAACGCATTCTTGAACTCCGAGGTATATGATGTTTCCGGATTTTGTCACGTAGAAGCCACAATCGATAGTGCTTTGCACTTCTTGAATATATTCAGAAATTACATAGATTGCATCGGAGCCAAATCTTTCCGTGATCCATTTTAACTTCTCCCTGAATTTTTCACGGTTTTGCACCACATAGTTGCCATAACCACTGAGGCTTTGGTCAATCTATTTATGATGTTAAACGATTAAGAATGAAATTAAACCAATTAATTTTTGCAGAATCGGGGAAGCGGAAATTGGGAAATCGGAGAATTGGGGAGTCACGGAATTGGGGAATCAGGCAATTGGGGAATCGGCTCAGCATTCCAAACTGAATTAAACCTCTTTGTTTTTAAAGGGTATTTGCGAATTAAAATTTTGTTTACTTCATTTGAAAGAGCAGCTAAAACTACATAGCTCTCTAAAAGTAGTTTTATACCGCTAATCCTGCATTCCCACTAATGGCGTCCTCAAAACCACACATAATGAGACTAAATGTTAATCCAAGATGGTGAACAACTCACTGATTTTGGTAAGATATTTCAAAGCTAGGCAAGATTTAAGAAATTGGTAAAAGATTCTTATACATAATCTTAGGCAGTCTTTGTTACGCCGAAAGTTTACCCTACGATGCAAGATTCTCAATAATCGAGGCCACTAAATTGATCGTACGAAATTATCATGCATTAACTGACCACGTTGCTTGAACCAATTTTGTGCTCAAAATCAGTTAATTTTTGTAGACCTGGAGTTGGAGGGAATTGGCGAAATATTTCCCGAAGTAATGATATTTCTCAGATTCTTTGATAATAACAAGTGCTATAATATTTCAAACACTCAATTGTGAACTGTTATTTAAATATTAAGGCCGTTTTCCACTTCAATCGTATCGTAACGTAACGTAGCGTATTTCTTTGTTTCCGAAGTATTCGATCAGAAATAATGAGTTTAAAACAATGAGATACGCTACGTTTCGCTACGATACAGTTGAAGTGGAAAACGGCCTCTTGTATTCGTAATACAAGTCTCTTGTATTCGTAACATACCCGAGTTTAAAAAATTACATTATTTGAAATAAATAGTAAATCCTTGGGTACCAAATTCTTTACATGTAAAACATTTCTAATGCCTAAATTACCTTGATCATACATGGGAATTCGACATAAGTCTCGTTGAAATATTTAGGATGCGGCGCACCAGTTTCAGGGATTGCAGATTTCTTTAGGATATCGTAGTGCATTTCTGGCTCGACTGCGTGCTTCTGCTTCGAAATGGCTTCAAGTGGAAACAGCGTGATGCACACATTGTCATTTTGTAGCCCCTCATCGACTGTTTTGATCACAGGCTCAACAAAATGATGACACCAATTCCTCCAGTGAACTAAGAGGAATTCGCTTGGTAATTCATGCACTAAGATGGGCAGTTGGTTACCAGCGATACAGCAGTTACGGAGAGGAACCAGGAATCGTTTCGAATTATTCGATGATTTAGGTATGTTAAAAATACGGTATTTTTCATTGTTCACAAAACGAAATGCATCGTTAAAGGAACTTGGGTAAAACGGGATAAAAATAGCGCGAGGAAGATCTTGGTGGAATAAATTTCCAAGGGTTAAACTTTTTTCTGTCTTGCTATTCTCTGTTTCATATTTCGCCATTGCTAAAAATTTCCAAATGTCGTTGTTAATAATTCAGGAATTACTATATTGGTTCCGGGGCCGATTGTTCGAAAGGCGTTTAGCTCAAACAGTGCACTGCAGTGCTTATCCATGGATATTAAGCAAAAGTTTGTGCTTGACAAACTTTTTTTAAGATTTGTACACTATAGAACTACATTCAAACGAAACCTGGCGATTCATATTCTTAATGTCAAGTTTCAATGTCTCGAGATCTAAACTTAGGGGCAATTAAATGAGGCGAGAATACGACCCCAGTCGTTTTTAGTGCCTATGGTGGATGTGGAAGGGAGACTTCTCACTTCCTTTCGTTCCTAGCAGGCAAACTGGCTGAGAAAAAGAACTTTAGTACCTCCATCGTTCTCAACTGGTTACGTAAGAAGATAGCTTTTGCTCTTTTTCGCGCTAGGGTTGTGTGTGTTCGTGATAGTCGTTCTTGGAGAACTGTAAACATTTCTTCAACTACAGATTATTATCTCGTTGTCGGAATGGAACTCTAATATTAGATAAAGTAGTTTTCTCTAGTTTATCTAAGTTTATATGCGTTTTTTTTTTCTCTTGTATTGTGCATGTATTTTAATGTAAGCGTAAATTAATGAAACATATAAATGTATTAGAAAATATAGAATTAACAATTATCATCATAATTAAATGAGGCGAGATGACCTGCCTGAAACGAGTTTGCCCTGTTGGCCGAGTGACCTGCTTCCTAAATGTTTTGCTTATTATTTTAACATTTCGTTTACATGGGAAGAGAGTTGTCTTGTCTTGCCTTGCCGGGACCGCTATTGTAGCTTGCTGTGTCAACTCGCTTAAGCGAGATAACAAGCACCGGTGTCAACCGTGTTACCGAAATTTAATAATATAATTATCGTTTGAATCATTGGTGGGATAATGTAGGAATGGTCGACCGTATTGGATCTCATATGCTGCTGCTGTGGGGGACTACCACCTGATTATGCAGTAGGTCTTCGACAAAAACTTTCAAAAAGATTGCTTGAAACAGCCCATAACCAGAAATTCAGGACATTAATTACCATAAAAGTTCGTAATACCAGGATTTCGCAATCAAAGATGCCTGCCTTTTATCATAGAATTATATAAGAATTATATTACCATTAAGAGGTTCCCCAGTAATGTCATTTCAGCAACTATTAGCTATATATACTTGCAATATGTAAGACAGAAGTTGCTTCAATTTCAAATTTTGTCTCGTGCCTCATATAATTCTACAATAACAAGGCAGCCATCTTTGATTGCGAAATCCTGGCATTATGAACTTTTATGGTAATTAATTTCCCGAATTTCTGGTTATGTTGGAAAATATATTTAGAAGAACACTTGTTCAATGGCATGTACGTTAGTTGCAAAATTTATAAGCGTGCAGAATGTAATTTATGCGCGTATTTGTGAATGTGCAGAACTGCGATTGCCATATATTACGCAAGTCATAAATTTTCTCATTGGTTTCAGTCCTGTCAGGGACACTGTCTGAAACCTGTTCCGCTGCCAGCATGTCGCATGTAATCCTACTTTCCTGCTCGTCCAAAGCGAGTCAACTCATTTAGTCGGGTCAACTAGCCTTATGTATCTATGTAATCGCCCCTTATCGAATTGATTTGAGCAAAAAAATCAACCAGAAAATCTATCAGAAGGCAGATCCTCCACGAAACTGTATTATTATTTTCTTCAGTGCATATCACTTTTATTTAGTTCTCACTCAACTTAATTTCTTTTCCCCCTTTATCAGTAAAATTAGATAAGTTGGAAAAATGAGGATAAATGACTCCAGTCGGTTGATGACGTACACACATACATACATAAATAAAGTTTTTTTAAGACATTCACTATTAGGTTTAGGAAAAATCAAATCAGTTTCCCTATTACGCAATTGGTAATTGTTCTGCCAATCGTTCATTCGTGTAAAGGATAATGCTAATTTGCATTTAATCCATAGACAATGGCCTTCGAGTGAAAATATATAACGTCGTAACGTCAGAGCCACAGACTTGGAGCACTGTTTGCCGACCTCTATAAGGATAGAACAGCTGTTTGGGTATTTCTGCAGTCCGCCAATTTTAAAAATATATTGTCCAAAATTTTGGCCGTGTTCTCTCAACGAACTTATAAAATCGCTAACATTCATACGAACATTTCGATTTGGATTGTTGATGAATTGATGTGTAATATACCAAAAAATTTTGTTAAAGATATTGTCTTTCGTATTCCTAATATGAATTTTCTTGTACGGTGCGGATTTGTTTCTGCAGTTGCACATTAAAGGTATTATCAGTCTCATAAGGCAGTTCAACAATACAAAGCGTATATACACATTTGAACCCAGTCAGTTGGCGGAACGTAGGTAGGTTAAAGACGGAGCTATAATTGTCGTGGAAATCTTAGATTATTCAATATACAGGGTGTCCCAAAAAAATTTCCCCTCTATTGAAATCAAGCCTTTGTTCGAATCTGATTGCCTTAATATTATGATAAACCCAATTGAAAGCAAGACGCTTTATTTGAATGCCTCAACCTAATAAATATGCTATTTACACACTACTGCGTTGATCATGCATTCAAATTCCAACAAAAGCTTCATTTCAATAGCGGGGACTTTTTTTTGGGACACCCTGTATATACTGGCAATACTGATTGGGGGAAAACGGAAATGGATGGTTATGAAAATTTTGACCGCTATTAATGATAGTATTCTCTTCAGGAGAGTTGCGACATTCTGCAGCCAAAGTTGGTCCAATATTGATAAAATAATTTTTAATTAAACAAAGGTTTTCATACATATATACAAGAGTTTGACAAAATTATTCATGCGGTGCATGAATCGCTCCCATTGCAGTTACGCGGTACTGCATGATAAGAAGAAAAATGCAACGGGAACCGGCTCATGATAGAGACTTTTAGATTCATGACGACATGGGAGCAGACAACGCAGTGAATTGAAAAATATTCAATTCAAAGTTTTTTTTTGTATTTCTTCTTGCGCTTATTCCACTAGCATGAACGGGACTTTACAATTTTAGATCATGCTTCAATACTTAATACATGCTGTCAATCTTTTAAAGCAAAGCATCGTTCTTCTGAAACGCCTTCTACCAAACAGTGTGTATAAAAAAGGTATATAACCTTTTAGATTTAAAAAAGCATAATGCCGTATTCTATTGAATTCATCTGTCAGAGAAGCTATACATATAATAATTGCTTCAAACAAGTTAAGCCATAAACAAAAGACTTTCTAGTTATGCGTACAGCAGAACAGTACAAATTAAGTTATAATTGATCTCTTTTGTGAAAAAAAGTTTTCGTCGCGTATCATTAACTCATATGAGAACAATCAAATCGCTTACAATTATCGCTAATTTGAATTTAAAAGGTTATAATTTTCTGCCCACCGCACCCATAGTTTCCTGACTTCTTGATGCTATGTCTCTTGACTGCCTATTCAATTCCTTAAATCAAATCATACACAAACAAAAAGTCGACCGACCAAACTGTTTGGTAACGACATTTAACTGAAACGATTTTTAAGCATAAAATAAACGCATTTACACAGCTTCAAATTACCATAAAAGTCTTCACTGCTGAATACTAAATAAATTCCTAAAGCGAGGAACACAAACACAAAAATGTTTGTTTTCAGTCAGTGTTAATGTGTTATAAATTTTTTGTACTAAGCAAATTCAGTATCGTGTAAGACCAGGCCAGAATCAGTAAGCCATATAAAAAATACAACATACAGCAAAGGCAAAGCAATTGAATCGTTATCGGCTTATTTTATCAGTTTTATTTATTAACAACATGATTTAATTAAGAACATTTTGCATGCGTAGAAAATGTAGCACAAACAGCCACGATTGAAAGTTGTACGAGTCGTTACAACTGGCGTTATAATATAGTGCTATAAAAGCCAGCGAACGACTATAATCAGTCGAATTGGATATATTAAGTGTAGAATTTACTTCGATTTACTTCAACCTAAGTAAATCAACTAAGTCGACTATACTCAGATTCCCTGTATTTATAGCATCATGTACGCAAAGCGCTCTGGTCAGTTAACAGCAGTGCACATGCAGTGGTACATTCTGGTCGGTTAATAGCAATGCATTCTGGTCCGAAAAACGGAAGTAAAATCTTACTTTCAGAGCCCTGTACGAATTAGAATTGCTGACTTGCTCGCTCGCTTCAGGCTCGCTCGCTGCGTCAGCAATTAATATTCATATTGCACACCAACGCGTCCCCCCCAACAATTTTTTCCGCAGATTTGAACAATTATTTCTCCTTGCAACGCTTTGGGGTTGTCACACATTGTTTAATCCGAATGCATAAAGATGGAAATCTCAGTAATAAGTACATGACTTTAAAATGGAGCCGGTTTTATAAAATTCTTTAGTTACACTTTGCATAATTAAATCTAATACAGTTAACTCAGAAATTCACAACTCTTATTGGATATTTTTGTCCTTAACTACCGTCTAAAGTTACAACATGTCCCAGAGTGTTAAAAATGTTGAACGTAGAGGTTAACAATGCGAGGCCCGTAAACCTAAAAATTGGCAAAAATTCCGATTACACTATACTCAATTTACCGGTACGGCAATTGAGTGTAGTGTAAACGGGGCTAAGAATTTCGCATATTTTGGATATTTTTTGACAAAACTCTAGCTCATAGTCATATTCATGTTACAACCATAACGAACAAATAATGCGTGAAATCTAGATACGCCGACAGTTCAGAGACATTTCAAAAATGTAAGTAAACAAAGAGTTTGTTTATTACATTACGACTTGAAAATATAATTACTTTGAAATTTTATTTGTCATGTATACCTTATGATTTTGGTACCTGGTGTCTCTATGAACATTTAACAGTTAAACTAGAAACTGACTGCAGATGTTTGTACGTCATTGACAAGCTTGATGGCCAAAAATATTTTGTAAATGCCTATACACATTTATGCAAACACGCTGTTATTAACGTACACGCGTCATCAAGTTCTCATAACAAGTAAATTCGTTAACGCGAAATAAAGAAAATAAATACATTTATTATTATCATCATGGTCTATAGTATAGGGCTATTGATTTCAACTACACAATATCCATGCGAATATCACTCACCAAAGAGGGTTCTGAGGGCCTGATTCCACGGCGGTTTTTCCTAGAGAAATTTGAAATTAGCCTTTTCCCATTCGTGCAGGGTACTGGGTCGAGTCATGAACCGCAAAGCATCTATGGACTGTTTGGAGGGACAGGAAAGTCTGAAATCATTTATCCCCGAAACAGTTCATAGATGCTTTGCGGCTCGTGACTAGACGCAGTACCCTGTTAAATTGGGAAATGGCTAATATCTCGCTTGCTTCTTTTCATTTGAATTGTGCGCAATCATGCAACCAGAATTAATTTTCTCCGACCAGCAGCACAAAATAATAACACCCTAACAGGAATTTATGGGAGACTGGGTTGTCGGGCTGAACTTTGAAGTACTCTAGTGATAGGTATAATCATCAGTTTGTGAAAAAAGCGTTAAATATTGCTTGAAAAGAACACAATGTATTTAAATCTCGTAAATGCTTTCGCAAATTCATTCAATTTTTCGCGATCGAACATTCGCGAAATTACGCACAACAACGTGGTGTCTCAGGGATCATTCGTGCGTTTCTTATAACCAATTAGCTGTTGTGGACAGTCGATGCTATATCTATGATTTTATATGCTAATTGCAGATGAAGAAAGCGCCTTCTACTGCTCAATGACAATAGGCTCAGTTGGGTGCGCATTTCTTGCGAGGTGCAGGTCAGTTTGCTGACATTATTATAATACTGTAATAATCTGCAGAAGTTCCAACCGTTGTGATCCGCTTTCCGCCAAAACCATGCATATACAGCCATAATCCAGAAGTGGTAAAATATTTTTGTTTGTAAATCCGTATTAATTAACGTCTTACAACTAAAGTTTATCTTTAATCTTTACATTTATCTTTAGTGGTAAAGACTTCAAACGATGTTAATAACTTTTATCAAATAAATTAACAGGTCTACATTAACAGCCACTTTTAAGATGGCTCTCATTGCGGCAAAACCTTCTCCTAGCTTTTTCTCATAATGGTCAGCGTTTGTACAGGTTTCATTGTCGGAATTCTGGTCAACGATTGCCTTCAGAAATCGACAAATCCAACTAAAAAAGAAGCTGCAATGTACATATCATTTCCAGAAAAATTTTATTCTGTACTACCGCCTCTTATGGTGTCGAGTATTTTCGCAGCGGTTGCACTGATTTTTGGATAATAAGTCAACGGGGAAGATTGTTGTTCTATGAGTGACTTGTCCACGACTCAAACCATGCTTGGTACGCTCCAATATAACCAGGGAGCAACGTGGCAGCGTCTTCAAATAACTTAGCATCAAATGTGGTATAACAACTGCCTAAAATAGACAAAAACACTTCTAGACGTCTCGACCTGAGGGCCTTCGTCAGGAGAGTTAGTATGAAAATAAATAGGGGAGAACACATGTTTTGTATGAGGGCAAAATACGTGATAAAAATGGGCTAATAGAAAACAAAAAATTAAAGCAAATTGGATTACATTACGTTGCCAAAGAAATGCCAGATCGTGGGCTAAGAAAAGCCCGCAATGCATGAAGACTGGTTCGTCATTTTATTTTAGATATTTCAGGACAAAACTCTAGCTCATAGTCATATTCATTTTAAAACCATAACGAACAAATAATGCGTCAAATCTAGATACGCAGACAGTTCAGAGACATTTCAAAAAAAAAGTTAAGAATGTAAACAAAGAGTTTGTTTATCACATTACGACTTGAAAATATAATTAGTTTGAAAATTTGTTTGTCATGCAAACATGAATATCTTATGATTTTGGTACCTGCTATGTCTATGACATTTAACAGTTAAACAATAACCGATTGCAGATTTTTATACTTCTGAGACGAGCTTGATGGTCAATAATATTTTGTAAATTCCTATACAAATTCACACAAGTTGTTATTAACGTACACGCGCCATTAAGTTCTCATAACAAGGAAATTCATTAACGAAATATAGAAGTATACTCATTATCATCATCATGGTCTATAGTATAGGGCTATTGAGTTCAACTACACAATATCCATGCCAATATCACTCACCAAAGAGGATTCTGAGGGCCTGATTCCACGGCGCTTTTTCTCGGGGAAATGGCTAATATCTCGCTTGCTTCTTTTCATTTGAATTGTGCGCATCATCCAACCAGAATTAAGTTTTTCCGACCAGCAACAGCAACAGAAGGCCTTGAGATCTTGGGAAATATTTCCCTATACGGACCTCCAATCTGGTAAATAACATATATGTATTTAAATCTCGTAAATGCTTTCGCAAATTCATTGAATTTTTCGCAATCGAACATTCGCGAAATTACGCACAACAACGTGGTGTCTCAGGGATCATTCGTGCGTTTCTTATAACCAATTAGCTGTTGTGGACAGTCGATGTTATCTATGATTTTATATGCTAATTGCAGACGAAGAAAGCGCCTTCTACCGTTCAATGACAATAGGCTCAGTTGGGTGTGCATTTCTGGCGCGGTGCAGGTCAGTTTGCTGACATACTGTAATAGTCTGCAGAAGTTCCAACCGTTGTGATCCGCTTTCTGCCAAAACCATATATAGCCATAATCCAGAACTGGTAAAATATTTTTGTTTTCAAATCCGTATTAACATCTTGCAACTAAGGTTTATCTCAGTTTAGTTGTATCTTAATCTTTACCTTTATCTTTAGTGGTAAAGACTTCAAACGATGATATTAACAGTAGCGTGGTGTGCATTAACTGTGAAAACAATTGAATTTCTAAAGAAATGAATAATAATTATAATAACTCGAAATTTACATAGGGACAAAATCGGAGTCATGGCAAAACGGCCATGTATTACAGCGCCAAATTTGCCCAGCACATCCACAAACTTTAGGCTACGACGTCCGTTGCCAGTATACGTGTATCAGCGCTATTGTTTTCGTTACGTTTTGTTCGAAAAATGTTGGATGTCCCTGGGAGTTGCATGTTGTGCCTTATGGAATTATCGTTTGAATGTATTTTATTTTGAGTTTATCCTGAATATGCCAAGATTAAGTAAAGATCAAATAGTATGGGTGTGTTTATTTACTGCTAATAGTGCATGTTTCAGTTGAGAAAAGCTTGAATAATGTAGTTTGTATGTTGAGATTCTTTATAAGGGTTTTGAACGTCTGGCAACTTAGCAAAGGAACAACACACTGAGACATTTTTGTGGCATATAATTTGGGCAGGAAGCGCTCGAAAAAAGGTCTAGAGGCTCTAATTAACCTAAGTTTTTCCTAGAGGAACAGGAGGACCTCTAAGTTGCAGAGGGTGTGAGCCAGCTCTGTGCATGTTGTTCAGTGAGTTGAGACCTGATGATCTATGGACCACCATTCACCATTAGTTATACTGAGACAGTAAGGGCACTCAAAACCCGACAGAGCATGCAAATGCAAAAACTATAGGTTTCTCTAGAGGAACAGGCGGACTTCTAGATTACAGGGGAACAGGCGGACCCCTGTTCAGGTCAGTCAGCTCGACTCAAATATTGTCTGACTGACCCATCGAGTCTCTAGGTCAGGTCATCAGGTCGCGTTTTCGACCAAAATGACCTGTACAAATGCACTTCACGTGGTGAGGTGTTGTCCAGAAGGACAGCACTTCCTGCCATTATTAATGGCGTAGTGCAGAGTGGCACAAAGTGCAGACCGCCATTTCCGCCACGGGAAGTAGCCGAATTATAGTCCTGTCTTTCGACAGCGGTGAGGGTCCACCCGAAAATGTCTTTAAGACACAATTTTGCAAAGGTGGCCGGAAATTGTGTGTATGTGGGTCCTTGAACAAACAGATTCGAATATATCGTGCAGTTGCCGTGGTACCAAGACAGAACAAAACATACGGCCGGCTATGAGTTTGCAGGAAGGATCCACATACACACAAATAGAGGACTGGTATTATACAGACTATACAGCAAGGAAGCATAATGATTGAGTTTAAAAGGTAGATATCAAAACAAAAGTTTTAATGTTTGGTACTTGCAGTTAGTTTGTATGGAACGGAAGCTAAGACGTCCTTTGGAGTTCTAATGTATCTCTCGTAACAGTGTGAAGACCAACGTCCTAGCGTTTTGATGAGCCAAGAGGGTAGGCCGGCTGAGCCCGCAGCTGTAGCAGCTCCGATCCTGAAACTATGAAGTCCTTGCCCTTGAAGTAGATGACGTAGATGCGATGTTAGGGTTACACGTGTAAGTGGGACACCTGATGTAAATTGGAACAGTGGACGAGTGGGTTAGCCGTACGATGACTGGAGTAGGTATGTTTTCATAGCTCGAACCGGGCAGAGTTTGATACGCGATGAGCCGATTGTCAAACGGCATCCACGACGAAAAGGGTCGGTTTTGGAACGCTTGATCAAGACATCGTCATATTCCGCGTGGAGGATATTTGGGTGGAAAATAATGTCATTGCGGGATAGGTGGCACTCGGGATCGAATGGAGAATTACACGTGAATTCACTACAGCGAAGGAAGCCAAAAAAGGCCAGAGTGAAGGCGGCCCAAAGCATCACATTGTCTAAACAGTCTGTAAACTGAGGACGTAGGGCAGAATGAAGGGACTCGAGTTCGGTCACAGTGATAGGCCATCGATCCCGCAATTTTTCACCCTTGAGGCGCTTCAGACCTTTCAGACTTTTTTCTAATAGTTGCATGCTCCCCATGTCGAATGGGATTTGAAAAATTACGTGGAGGTAAGACACGCTAGCTAAGTATGTTTTAACAGTTGAATATGAAACAGATTTGGATAGATGGCCGAAGAAGTAGAGCAGGGTAAGTTCAGTCGCTGGCAGTAAAGGTGAACAGGGTGTCACGATACCTTTTGCAAGGCAGAATGAAATGAATTGGGGACATTCAGTTCAGTGAACAAACACAACAGCTTACACAGCGAAGTCAGGCATAAAGGACGGGGGGAAGCCTCAGCAATAAAGAAATCGTCCAAAATATGGAGAACAATTGCAATACCTAATTGGTGTAGGAGAATCCATTCGAGGGCATCCGAAAGCATGTTAAAAATGTACGGTGCACTGCGAAGGCCGAAGGGGAGAACACGATCGAAAAAATACAGTCCCCGCCATTTCATGCCTAGGAGTTCTCAGTCATCGGGGTGAACTGGGATATTACGGAACGCGGATTGAACATCGGTTTTGGCCATGAAACAGTTCGGGCCTAGTTCAAGAAGGATTCTCATAGCATCGTCAATTCGGACGTACTGTAAAGAGTAATCTTGGGATGAAATATTAGCATTAACACTAGTGGTTGATGATTTTGGATAGGAAAGGTGGAAAATGGTTCTCCATTTGGATGAACTCTTCTTAGGGACAAGGCCCAAGGGGTAGACTTGGAAGTTTGTAAATGGAGGGCTAGTGAAGAGGCCAACTGTGTGGCCTTGTTTGACTTCGTTGAGCAGGTTTTCATCCCCTATTTCCGGCGACATAAGGGCCGTTTTAAGATTAGGTGAAACGAAGGGGTGATGGGGCCCCTTGTACCCAATTTTAAAACCCGCCCTTAAACCCGAACAGAGGGCAACAACAAATTCGCGATCTGGGTGGTTAGTTAGCATGGACTCCAGGAGATTAACGTTAATTGGTGTAACTGGTTTTAATCTATCAACAAACTCTTTACTTGTGTTTTCTGCGACGCTGAGTGTCATCAGTTCTCGCAGAGCTGGTGTCAGCGTGTTCATTTGCCGCATGCCGTCCGCCACAACCGGATCGATTACACCGATGTTCGAAGGAACATGGGTTTGCTGAGCACGGGAGGCCCCCGTTAAAATTGCGGCAGAATCCTCGGTTGGAAAAATTGCTTGACCGGCTGCCTTTGGACCTTGATGAGGAAAGAGAGCAAACATCAGACATGTGGTCAGCGCCGCCACAGACAAAGCAGATAGTGCGCGCGAGACCTTTGAACTTATCTAGCCACAGCTTGAGATGACGTTCGCCCCAATTGAGCGCTGGATGTTTCGGGGCGAGCTTGCGAAAATCTATGTCGTACGCATACCAAGCCAAACCTTTAAACTTTTGTGAAGCCTCTCGGATTATGCGCTGGTAGGCAAACAGCTGCGAAGCTTTGTGTGGAAATTTAGCGACAACAACCGAAGCGTAAATACCGAAGGCTGTTAGCCACTTATCAAGACTGTCGATTTTTGGACGCTTGCCGAAATTTGAGAAATTCGGAAGAGGTATCGAATAGCCCTGATCACCTTCGACTGACAGGCGAATTGGACCGAAAGAGGGGCGGTCTGAATTACCCGGGAGAAGCAGAGAGAAATCGACAAACTCACCGTTAATGATCTGTTCCTCGACTTTCTTAGGCAGACTGGGAGTCTCTGACGGTAATGAGGTTGATGACGAGTAAACTGGCGAACACGAGATTAAAGTGGCAACGCTGGAAGGATTACCCAGATCGAAAGAGGGTGTTGGCGCGGACTGCGCGATAAGGCTCGCTTCTGGTGATGGTTGTGGAAGCGGTGGTTGAGGTGATGGTGGCGTGTCGCGGGCCAAAACGTCGCGGAGCAACGGTGCGAGGTTAACTGCCAACGAGCGGAGAGATTCAGCGGAAAATTGAGGCGTACTGGGAGTCGGATCAGGTGGTGGTTGAGCTGGTGTTAAAGCTGGAGAATTTGCCGTTCTGTCGTTATCAGCAAGGCGGCGTAAAAGAACGTCACGCGAACCAGAAAGAGAGAGGTTTCGCTGGGCCAATAGAAGATGGAGGACTTCGGTGGACATGTTGGCGTAGTTCGTGGCAGAACCAAGCGGCTGTTTGCTGGTGTGGTTGGCCGCGTTCGACGTCTCGCCATTGGTTTCCGCCACAGTTTGTTCGTTTTGACGCGATGGACGAGTACGAGTTGAACAGCGCTTTTTAGCTTGCTTCGGCATTGCAGTTTTTGGTTATAATTACTTTTGAAACGCAGATATATGTATTACTGCCTTTCGATAAAGACCTTTAAATATTTGACCGGCGTTGTGGACGCATTGGCTGAGGTCTTGCGAATGACCAATGCATGCATGGGGAGCAGGCAAAATCCTTGCAGAAAAAAGGGGGCCATTGTTCAAGTCCACGTGAAGGGAAAGACCGTCAGGGGAGATTCGATTGGCCGTAACACAAGTTTGCATACGTTGTTCACATGCTAAGATGCCAGAGTTCGTTCAGATTTTGGACTTTATAACTATTAACATGGCTGGTAATGACTGCCTTGTTCTATTGAGGCCTTGACCTTGCCCGGGCTAAAATTAGTGCATGCGATAACTATTACAGCTAGACCAGAGATGGTCCATATGTAGTGTGAAATAGGACCTTCTAGAACATACTACCCCTTTAACCGCAAATTTATAACTTGC